AATATAAAAAAAGTGATGACAAATGGCATGACTTCCCCATTTTTTACTATTTCAAGGGGCACTCGTCAGGGATGCCCATTGTCCCCGTTATTATTCACAATAGTTTTAGAGCCTTTGGCCATTATGATTAGGGCAGACCAAAACATTATGGGAGTAAGGGGGGTAGGGGATGGAACACAAATTAATGCTATATGCAGATGATATTTTATTGTTATCTCGTGACCCTCTCAAATCTTTACCTCCATTAATGAGAATTATTCAGTTATATTCAAATGTGTCAGGATACAAAATAAACTGGGAGAAATCTGAGGCTATGCCAATATCTAGAACATGTCATGCCCATACAGTGACCCAATTTGGCTTTAAATGGGTTCCAAAGGGTATGAAGTACCTTGGGGTTAAACTAACTCAGAATTTGGAAGATATAATGATGTTGAATTATGACCCACTGCTGTCAAAGATAATAATGTGTAAAATAATGTGGACAAATGGGAACAGCTGAAACGTTCTCTATGAGGTAAAGTGAATGTTGTCAAAATGGTTATTGCTCCACAGTTCAATTACATATCCATGATGATACATGTGAACATTCCAGACCCCATCTTCAAAAGATATGATAAAATTATCAAGGATTTTCTGTGGGAAGGAAAAAGACCTTGGATTAAAATGAGTAAATTGATTTCCCCAAGGGACAAGGGGGGCCTTGGATTACCGGATGTGTGGATGTATAATTTCTCTTTTGAAATGGCCAAACTGGCTAAACATTGGAGTGAGACAGACTCTGAGTTGGAATGGATCAAAATAGAACAGAAACTTGCCTCACCATTTCATCCCATTAGTATTCTCTCGCAAAGTTCTGGAGCTAAATGGGACTCAAATCCAGTGATAATACACTCAAGACATGTCTGGAGCAAAATTCATAAACTGTGTAAGACATCACATCATAAACAGTCATATGCTTCATTGTGGAATAATCCTGAAATCTGTATAGGCAAAAAAGGGGTGTTTTGGAAACAATGGCATCTTAAAGGGGTAACAGTAATTGGCGATCTATATGAGAATGGAATATTTCTGTCATATTCTGAATTGGTGGAAAAACATAATATTGTGGACCAAGGAAACTTTTGGAAATATCTGCAGATAAGACACTGTGTTAAGAACAAATTCAATGCCAGTGATAACCCTGTGTATGCCTATCTTAAGTTACCATGTAGAACTCAAACTGCTTCTATGTGTTACAAATCAATGCTTAATGTAACTGCAGATACTTGTAATAACCTGAAAACAATATGGCAGAAGGATTTGGGGATTAATATTCATGATGATGACTGGCTGGACATCTTATCTAATGTGGGTAAGAACATAAGGGAAGCTAGGGGAAAATTCATTCATTAAAAAATAGTACATAGATACTATTATACACCATCTAGACTTTACAGGATGGTGATACACTCTAAAAAAAAAAGGTTCTTCAACAGTTCTTCAGCGGTTCTTCAGCAGTTCTTTGGAGTGGTTAAGGTGCTATTTAGCACCACTACCATATATAAAGAACCTGTTAAGCCCCTGTATGGTTCTTCAGCGGTTCTCTGGAGTGGTTAAGGTGCTATATAGCACCACTACCATATAAAGAACCTGTTACGTCCCTGTATGGTTCTTCAGCGATTCTTTGGAGTGGTTAAGGTGCTATATAGCACCATTTGACAAAGGTGCTAAATAGCACTAAAAGTGGTTCCCCTATGATTACGAGCCAAAGAACCGCTTTTAGTGCTATATAGCACCATTTGTTTTAGAGTGTAGCTGGAAATAATCTCTGTTGGAAATGTAAGGAAGAAGAGGGCACTTATTTACATATGATTTGGGAATGTTCTTTAGTTCAGCCATTCTGGCGTAAAATTCTGAGAATACTTGAAGAGTGGTTGGGCTTTAATTTACCTGTGGAACCACAATTATGCCTTCTTGGAGATAAATCAGCTGTACCTAATATAGCAAAAAATGCTTTTACCCTTATTAAAATTGGTTGTATCACAGCTGCCAGGATGATCGTGAGCAATTGGAAATGCCCCAAAACCCCAGATTTGAAAGATTGGATTGATGGGATGATTGAAATTGCATCATATGAGTGCATGTTGGGGAGACTGCAGAGTGAGGGAGAAATGAAAAAAACATGGGATCATTTTTGGCAGCATATAAAAATGGTGTGATTGATGAGCAGAACTCATTAACAACTGTTACATTTCCATGTGCTTTTGTTTTATTACTTTGATGGTGACTAGTTGTAACGGGGCTGACGAGACGTGAGACGTGTGGATCCATCTGCAGGCTTTATTAAAGAGACATAGTACACAGGCAGGGTCAAAACAATGGCAAACAGGTATATGGCGGGCAAAACACAAGAATAGTCCTAGGGCTAGTGTAGGTCACCTATCAGGAGACAGAATCAAAGGGGCGAGACGAGAGGGAGAAATCCAAGAAAACAGGCAAAGATCAGAAACCGCAAAAACAGGCAAGGCAAAACAAGGAAAACACAGAGACTCGGAAAGGGGTACAGGCTAAACAATACTCAGCAGAGAAATGGGGTTAGAGTGGGTGTTATATAGTGAGTGAGGTGATTAGAAACAGCTGTGTGCAATCAGTGCAGTGTGCAAATCGTGCAAAGAATGATGGGATATGTAGTCCGGGGTGCTATGCAACAGTTTGTGTTGTGCGAGAGTCAATGAAATGGAAAGCTTGACCTCTGGTGGTGAATAAACGGAAGTCCATGGACTGAATTCGTGACACTAGTGGCTGAATATGTAATTGTTTGGAAAGGTGAATATTGAATACTGTGGTGATGTACGAAGTTTTGACTGTTGAACAATAAAAAAAAGTTGAATTATAAAAAAGAAATATGTAATAATTAACACAGCACATACCAATTCTCATGATGTTTTTTTTTAGGGGGGGTATTTTAGCACTGAAATGCTTGGTTAAATTTCTTCTTTATTTTCTCTTCTTCTTCTTCTTTTAAAAATATCTTCTTTAATTTTTTAATTTTTTTTTTCCAATGTTTATCACTTGTATTTTTTGTTTGTCGGGTGGTTGACTAAATGTAAGAGCAAAAAAACAAAAATGACCACACTGTTGTGAAAATTCACTTCCTCTTCAGGCTTTCACAGAAGGCCACATTCGATGTGCATAAAAGATGGCCAGGAAAAAATTGGCACTAATATATAAATAGCAGAGTTTCATCTTCATGCACCAGGGTCTTTTTTTATTTTCTGTGACTTATTTCTACAGAATATAGAACAATTATAGAAAGAACTTTATAGAAAAACTGAAAAAGAATTCTGTATAAAAATTATTCTAACATTTTTTATCACGTTTATAAAATGTATGGTCTTTAAGGATATTAAAGGTTACCAATTACAAAAAAAGTTCTGAAATTACAATTAAAGAATACAAATAAGGAAGGACAAAAGGAAATATTATGCAAGGAACACAACAGAGAGGGATAGAAAAAAGATGCATAAACAGAAGTTCTTTCTTCCTGTCTGCATTTGTCAGGAGGCTTTGACTTTCTGTCAGCGAGTTGCTGATTTCAGTCTCACTACACAGTGCTGTTTCAGATTAAAAGGCTTTATAATTACAAATAAGTATGAAATTAATGAAATTAGTCAAACTTACTGTATGTAATCAAGCCAATTAATATAATTACTGACTTAAATAAGAACGTAATTCAAAGTGTTATGCAAAGCTCCCAATAACATTTAAAAGCTCCAGAGAGTAATAAACACTAAATACTGAATGCTACATTTAAGACACAAAAGACTCAGAATGTTACTGAAAACCTGTGGTCCTGAACTGGTTTTGCATGGAGGCCCAGACTTTGCATAAAGAACAGAAGTTTGATTTACAAGCTTGTTAACAGTCTGTGTCAGATTTGTATGGTTTTCAAGACTGATGATATATCTTATGCACGTCCATGTTGCTAACTGCTTAACATAAAAAGCTGCATTCTATTTAATTCTATTTAGCTTTATTTTCCCATACATTTCAACTGCCACATCAGGCCAGTGACCTATTTTTGGGCCCCAACCCACCAGCTGAAAACCACGGCTTCAAACCTACCCATCATACCACAAAACTATGGCAAAAAGACATTGTTTTTGATGCAGCTTCATATCAACATATCACTATTAACAACATTAGTAGTAAATACAGACACTTCAGACGAAAATGAAAAATTAGATTCATGTGATAAGCATAACTATTCTGACTGATGTGACACTTTTTCACTTCCCCTTCACTGCCCATTAAAAAAAACTATGACCACATCTTAAGCTACTTTCTCAGTTATATGCATTTTTGCTTGTTAAACTAAAAAAAGACTATATGCTGATTGTCTTTTTCTGTTATGCTTGAGCCACCAGGCTAAAGTGGCTGACATCTTTAATGGTTTTGCCACCAAAAAAGCAGAACTCTCTGGTGGCTTATGAGATAATATTTAAAAGAAAAATATCCTAACATCAGACTGCAGTCGGGTCATTCAGGCAGACAGGAAAAGGAAAATAGAACAGAAACATCTTCCAATAAAAAACACTCAAGAATAAAAACCCTATAAAGTTTCAAAACCCACAGCACTTTTCTTTATAAATAAATAAATCACAATTAATCACACAGAAGAGGGAGCAGGAGCTCAAAGGTGGGAAACTTTATATTACCAAAACCACAGACAGGAAAAGAAATAAGTTCAGGTTTTGTATTCATTATTTTTTCTCCATGTAATTTGGCTTTTAAGATGTTATCAGACAAAAAAAATCAAGAGGATCAAGAGCTTTATTTTCTGTATAAAACAATGGTACATCTTTCTTCATGCGCGTTAGTTCAAGTTTTGCACAACATGCCATAAGATGCACATTTAATTTCTAAACCGACCAATCAGAATGGATATTCAAATGACACGAAATTCATTCCATCAAAAATGGTGCTAATGCATAAGTTCTTAATTATCAAGCTTATTTTAAAAACAGCCTGGTAGCATAATTGTCAGCAAAAAAAAAACATTTTCACATTTGGATTTAATCAGTGTTTACATATTGGCCTCCCCATAATATTTCCTCACTGACCGGTACTGCTAAAAAGCAAAAATGACATTACAATGAAACTCTTTTAAACTTTAGTCATGCCCTCAGGTCTGTCTCGAACGATCCCTGCAGTCTTTGGAATAGAATTACAGCTTTCTTCTGCAGTGCCTTCCTGGGACTGCATAGTGTGGCCTTCTTCCATAAGTGCTCTGCGATAAATCCCTGATATGCTTTGTCTGAAGCGTCGCCTAACATCCAGTCCCATGCAGAAGTACAGCACCGGGTTTATGCAGCTGTTGAAATATGCAAAGCCCTTAGCAATAGGCAGGCCCACTTTAACAGCATGGCTCTTCTTGTCCACCATCTTGACGAGCAGTAGGCAGTGGTAGGGGCCCCAACATAAGAAAAAAGCACAGATCAGTCCAGCAAGAATCCGGAGAGGCCTCGATTTTCCAGAAAACCTTGTTCTGCGTATCCCGATGCCAGCTATAATGTAGCAGCACAGGATGACCAGGAAGGGCAACAGGAATCCACATAAGAAGCGAATGCTGTACAAGGCGTTCTTTGCTGAATTGTCACCCTTTGATGCTTCTTTCACCTGCACAAAGTAAATCAGATTTCTGAATGATGACAAACTATTTCACATTTACTATGCTAAAAGAAAGTTCATGTTTAAGTGGACAGTTCACACAAAAATTAGAAATGAAAATTAGAAATGTACTCATCTGTCACATAATGAAATAAAGTGGTACGAAATACGAAAGAATAAGATACGTTCTTGTTTCCATCCAAAGTTGAATCTAGCCCATGCTCAAAATTGGAATATCGCATAAAACATTTACGAATAAAGCACTGTTTCCATCCAACAAGTCAAAGAGAACAAAATCGTCACTTTCTGACAAACTGTCACTAAATATCACTAAGAAAAGTAGGAGAAGCTACTGAAAATAATAATTTTCACATATAATAAATAACTTGCGCCTCTGAGCGAGCAGACAAAACACAATAAATGCGGTTTCGGAGGTGGATGCCTGGTGTTTGGGAACACAGCCGTGTAAGACTGCTACAGTAAAAACCTGTTAAATGGTTAACGGTAAATTCGTTGATAGGTTTACGTGTATGTCAGCCACGGCACTAGCCATTATTTTTAATCGAAGGAGGCATATACATACAGTATATCTTTGGCGAAGCAACACAGAGAGTCGCTTCTGGGACGCTTGTGAAATGTGCCGTGGCGCGGCTGGTATAAACTCAAGCATTGACAACCGCACTTACTTATAGGCATGAGCCTTGAAATTTCCTGTTCACATAGCAGCTTACAATAGATATTCGAATATTGTCTTATGAACATGTAACTGAAGTCAAGTCCATAGACTTTAGCCAGGATAGTCATATTTAATCTTTAGCAGGAATGAAATGAGGCTGTGAGAGATAGAAGTACAGTGCGTTCAATTTGCTTAGCAGAAATACCAATTTCTGCTGATTTTTTTCAGGGGGAAAAAAATAAATGGACATAAACCAGTTTTGAAAATTCTAACTTTTGAAAATGACATGATCTAGGAGTTTTACACAGTGTGTACCATTGTAAAGACTGTCACAGTCTCGTTTCATTCATCCGTGTTAAATTCAGAATTGTGTCTCCATATGTTAGTCACATTGGGCTTCAGACGCATGCTAGCCACCCAGATGACCAAAGAGTTCCCGATGATGCCGAAGATAATGGTAATGGTGTAGAGGACAATGGTAACATTATCCATAATGGCATCAATGTCCACTGTAGTTTTCTCATGGTGGGTTGAGATGTCTGAGTGGGGCTGCATGAGAAGAATTGCATTGGAGGCCATTCTGAGAGACAAATGAAAATGATATACAGTCTGTCTGTTCAAATTAAGCATTTTAACTGATTCACAGATGGAATGATTAGCAAGGTCAAAGTCGCCATTTCAATTCCCAGGGAATGCATGCAGGTACAATGATATCTGTAATGTGTAAAGTATGTTTAAATAATTCTCAAGAACTACAATACTAGACATAAGTAAATATGAGCACAAAAATATAAGCATCATGTACTTCCTCTTGTTCACCCAGCACCATTTTCTTGTGTATTTATGGGGTGGTTATTAAAATATTATGTACAGTTGAAATTATAGTTTAAATATTTATATATTTTTTAAATATAGTTTAATCAAGCCATATTGGGCTGTCACGTGACAGAAGCCACCCAGCTCTTACTCAGAGTCTGTTTCAAAATATCTGTCTGGAAAAAAACTGAACCTTTCACCTTCAACAAAATAGAGAAGTGGAAAGAAAATAAGTGCTTTTAAATGGCACACAGCTGCAGAAACAACTTCATGCACCTGATTCATGCATTTGTGACAGCATTTCATAAAACTGGCAGTCTGTATGTGTTTCACTTAATGTTAGCTAATATCTTTCTGGTACATTGCCATTTAGTGAGCAATTCATCATAAGTGCCATTGCATGCTCGTATTTGAGCGACACCATATGGTAAGATAAACATGAGTTGTCTGGCAACTAAGAGGTTGCAGCATATAAAACTGGTTTAAAAGCAAAGCTAATGTGAGTTATATATTTTGAATTGCTCTGCTGAATCATGAAAGGTCAGAACATCTTATTGTAGTATTTCCATTACATTTAGCATTTACTCACACTAAATAGGTTGTGTAATTCTGGCAAGAAAACGTTGCGTTGGAGGCCATTCTGAGAGACAAATGAAAATGCTATACAGTCTGTCTGTTCAAATTAAGCATTTTAACTGATTCACAGATGGAATGATTAGCAAGGTCAAAGTCGCCATTTCAATTCCCAGGGAATGCATGCAGGTACAATGATATCTGTAATGTGTAAAGTATGTTTAAATAATTCCCAAGAACTACAATACTAGACATGAGTAAATATGAGCACAAAAATATAAGCATCATTTACTTCCTCTTATTCACCCAGCACCATTTTCTTGTGTATTTATGGGGTGGTTATTAAAATATCATGTACAGTTGAAATTATAGTTTAAATATTTATATATTTTTTAAATATAGTTTAATCAAGCCATATTGGGCTCTCACGTGACAGAAGCCACCCAGCTCTTACTCAGAGTCTGTTTCAAAATATCTGTCTGGAAAAAAACTGAACCTTTCACCTTCAACAAAATAGAGAAGTGGAAAGAAAATAAGTGCTTTTAAATGGCACACAGCTGCAGAAACAACTTCATGCACCTGATTCATGCATTTGTGACAGCATTTCATAAAACTGGCAGTCTGTATGTGTTTCACTTAATGTTAGCTAATATCTTTCTGGTACATTGCCATTTAGTGAGCAATTCATCATAAGTGCCATTGCATGCTCGTATTTGAGCGACACCATATGGTAAGATAAACATGAGTTGTCTGGCAACTAAGAGGTTGCAGCATATAAAACTGGTTTAAAAGCAAAGCTAATGTGAGTTATATATTTTGAATTGCTCTGCTGAATCATGAAAGGTCAGAACATCTTATTGTAGTATTTCCATTACATTTAGCATTTACTCACACTAAATAGGTTGTGTAATTCTGGCAAGAAAACAGTGAATTGAAGGTAATTAATTCCACGGTGTAAAACCCAATGATACTTCTTGAAAAACAAAAACTGTTGTTTTGCATCAGTTAGTTGTGTTTCTCCTTTCATGTTAAAACAGAATGCAATAGTACATACGAATAAGAAGAACGCAAAAAAGGCATGACAATTTAAGGCAGAGATAGGCAATTTAACAGCTTATGTTTGAAAAATCACATTAAATGTATAGTATATAAAATACAAAAATGCAATAAAATGATTGCGCAGCATGGATTGCATTGGAAAATTTTTGTAAAAAATATAGCAAATTACCAACTGGATAATGAATTGCTGTGGGTGTTCTTACCTTAGTGAAAGTTTGCTCAAAGAACTAGTTAGCACAATCAGTGTTTGAGGAAACACTGCATAGTAATTTGTGAATGTGTCCAGCAGAGACTGAGTATGAGTGTTAGGTCATGTTCAGTGTGCAGGAAAATAAATAAGTGACGGGTTCATTGACATCATTTCCAGCTCCTCTCCTTCTCTCTGAACCCTTTTCGCCCCTTTTTCATCATGTGATCATTAAGTGTCTTCTTTACAGACAAAGAGAGGACAAACAGGAAAAGGGAGGAGACACAGATGAACAAACATAGAAACATAAATACATATGTGTGTTTACTCCATTATGCCTCTGGGAGAGTTAAAGGGATTGTTAAGGGGATTTCTCACCCTCAGGCCATCCAAGATGTAGATGAGGTTGTTTCTTCATTGCAACAGATTTGGAGAAATTTAACATTAAATCACTTGCACACCAATGGATCCTCTGCAGTAAATGGGTGCCGTCAGAATGAGAGACCAAACGGCTGATCACAGTAACACACAACACAACTCCATTCCATCAATTGACGTCTTGTGAAAAGAAAAGCGTTTGTAAGAAAGAAATGCATCATTTAAGCATTTAAACTCTCGCTACTTTTTTTAAGATTTATTTTTGGCATTTTATTTAGATAGGACATAGAGCTGACAGGACGCAAAGTAGGAGAGAGAGAATGGGGCAGGATCGGGAAAGATCCTTGAGCCAGGATTTGAACTCAGGACGCCCATAGTGCAATGGCACGATATTTCGGCACGCTGCACACAAGGCTAACGGCACAGACTAAACGCTCGCTTTTGACCCAAACACCACTCTCTAATCCATAATAATAGTTTTCTTCAGTGGAAAAGTCCATCCCCTGTTCACATTAAAATTCACCATCATGTTTGTTTAGATCTGTTTTGAATTGATTTCACTTGTAAATGGATCTTAATCTGTGCATATTTCTCTCCTGATTCAGACTAGACTTTTACACTGGAGGAATCAGTGTTATGGACAGAGACGTGTATTTAATCCAGAAGCAACAGTTTGAAGTTAATAATGACTTAAAGGTGCACTTAGCAATATCTGAAAAACGCTTTTGCCCACAGTGTCGGACCGAGTCCCAAAACACACTTGTAGCCAATCAGCAGTAAGGGGGCGTGTCTTGTAATGATTGAGAGATTTGAGTGCACAGGACGGATATGAGCAGATCGACTATAGGTAGAGAGAGATGGCAGATAAGAAAAGAGGAAAATATCAGAGAAACAAAACATCAATATTAAGGGTTACGACCAGGCAAGAGGTAGGACCCGCGTAAATATTGGAGCAGCTTTCCAGCAGTGGAGAGAGGCCTGTAATCGGACGCCGAGGTTACGTTGTTTTGCGTTGCGTTTTTGATAAACGAGTAATGTTGATTTTGCATTGTTTCACACAACTTATCCGTGTTGGCTTTTGTTTGAATATGCTTGTGTGTCATCTTCACTTGTTTCCGTGATCGTAGTTGCCATGGTTGTGTGGTACGTGTGAGGTGGAGATTTTAAAATAGGGGCAAGGTCCTGTTGGAGTATGGGAGTGTTTGATTTGGTGCTTTCAAATATCAACATCGTTTGGCAAAATTCGCTTAGTGCACCTTCAATGATGCATTTATTACAAACACAAAACTTTTGGGTTACTTACTTGTGGATTACGGTGATGTTTTTATCAGATGTACTGGCAGCACCCATTCACTGCAGAGGATCCATTGGTGAGCAAGTGATGAACTGCAGAATTTCTCCACATCTGTTCATATGAAGAAACACACTCAGCTACATCTGGGATGGCCTGAAGGTGAATACATTTTTAGCAAATTTTCATTTTGGGTGAACTATTTATGTTGTGTATCTAATTACATTCCTGCCTATAAAGCAGTCATTGTGACTGTACATCAAAACATCATATTCTTTTCTGAATTTTGAAAGAATGAATATGCCAATACTGATACTACTACTACTAATAATGATTTTTATAAATGTGTAGAATATTTCACATGTAAGCACTGTATACACCCATATTTGCATATAATTTGCATGTCTGGTTCTCTTTGTCAATGTGCCCTATTTTATTATGGGGTTTTGCCTACATATTCTCCATGAATTTTGTTTTCAATCACATATAAGTTTAAATTAAAATGGTTTGAAGTGGTTTCCAACCTTAGATATAAATGGTTCAATGCTGTTTGTGTTTATATTTAATACTTAT